AGGAGCGGGCTTTGCATAAGCGCTACTTGGGGCAGAATATATGACGTCGCGGTTGCCATCCGAGTAAGGTGAGACACCAGAGTAGCTGTACGACTTGGGCATTCTTGCCCTGAGGCTCATTGGGCTTCCTGGAAATGAGACATATGATAGCGAGCTCCCAACGCGGGGAACAGTGGCCGAGGGCAGGCTCAGTTGGGAGGAACCTGATGCCATTGCGCTACGTCTTTGGTTATGCTCGATGATCGTGGCTCGATCGGCAGCCTCTCTCCATCTTGGGGGCGCACTGGCAAACGCATCTGTGGCTGCGTGGGTAGGGACATGGCGATAGGGCAATGTCTCCTCCTCTTTCTTCTTCTGCTCAGCTAACTTGGCATTTTGGTCCTTGGCGTCCTTCCGGGTTTTTCGGATTGTGGAGAAGATAGACATTGTGAAGATGTTTATGGCCCAACAGAGATGTGTATGATCAAAGGTGGATATGCAGCCTGTAGCTCATGCGAACGCTGCGCAAATTGATTCAAGCAGGTGAGACAGGGCTGTTGGCAGAACTGGCTCTGTAAAATGGGCCTATTTTCTTGATCACGCAATCAGATGTCTTCAGTTGTAATCCAGGGACTGGTTGTCGACGGTGCAAGGTCGATATCTTGGACTATTTTGTGATGCTCATGGTGGTGACTGAATTCTTGGAGAAGAGCACTGAGAAATTATGAACAGCTGATAGAGAGGACAGGTATCGACGAGAGCCCGCCCGGACAAATAGTGTAGCGAAACGGCAAGGGCCTTGGCGTAGAAGTGGGTGAAGGTGAGGGCAGCTGGAGACCAGGATATATCTGATTTAGCCGCCGGTTTACAACGGCAAGGGTGGCGCGGTTCTATACTGGACGTCTGGATTACGACGACAAGCAATAAAGCTCCAGGAATGTAACTATATTTGCGAGGATTGAGAAGCGGCTGAAAGATGGGGATTGTGTTGAATGGTAGGCTAAGTGTAAGCCAGGGCTGATGACCCAGAGATCCTAAGAGAGTGTTGTTGCCCAGTGGGGGACGGAAATGGTGATTAGGCGTGATATGGAAAATTGGAACAATTGAGAGAGAGGAGAAGACCTGGTTGTAATTGAGGAAACAGAAAGCAACGAAGACGCGCCGGCGTGAATATATGTTCAACGAGGACTACCTAGGTAGAGAGCAGGCCAGGGGAAGCGAAGAAGATGGAAAGAGGGGGACTGGGTTCATCCCTCTTGCCGCTCCCTGGTCTAGTGATGGGGGGAAACGGGGGTTCATGGTTTATTTATCTAGACACAGATAGCCTACTAGTACTTTATCAAAATGAGTTTTGACAAGCGAGGGGGAGCCAACGTCGACATGTCCCGATTGCTTGGCGAAGATGGATGGAGAAGATACGAGGCGGGCGCCGACGCGGCGTGCTCGATGCAGCCAGGACTCAGGAACCTACTGCGCGGCCAATGCAATGCCGAGCCCATAATATCATTTTACGATAGATGGGATGGGTGTTATCATGGGTGGCCCATGGCATGGATGGGCTATGGAACAGGGTGCAAGGGAGAAAGAAGATCCATGGATGGCAACCTAAAAGCTCAACACCGCCAGTTCAAGCCGCGTGAGTCGAGGCGTTCCAGCGGCCAGCGCTCGCCACAGCGGCCAGCGAGGCCTGGCTGGCAGCGTGTAGTGAGTGGGTAGGCTCTCTGTGTAGGGGGGGCTAGGGGGTTCGGGGCCTCCACCCGCGCTGCACGCTACTGCAGTCAGTGTTGTCTGCAGGCTGCAGCCACGGTCAACAGCGCGCAGCCCATTATCTTACCTCCCTCTCACGAGTATTGGAACCTTTGGCCTGGTAGATTGCTGCTTGGAACCGCCCGCCTGAGTACTGGACTCGTGTGTGTATCTACCTGCAAATCTTTTCTTTGTCATAGCGCAAAACATCCATTACGTTACAATGTAACCCTAGCCTGCTTCTTTGGATGAACATTTTTCTTTGCTTTGCTGGCAGCCTTCTTCCTGCTTCTCGGCGAATAGCGGTCCCCATTCTGTAGGCAATGCGATGCACGCCTCGGCGCATTGCGGACAAAGAGTCTGGCCACCTCAATGCTGTCAGCTCGTTGATAATGTCAGATTATCCATGATTGGACTGGTGTTTGCTTCCTCGGGTCGTCGTTCGTCCAGTTGTGGCGTCGATATCAAACAATCTCTTATATTAATGGTAAGTTATATGCAGCAGTAGGTAGACCAATATTGTCCATTACCTGGAAGCCCAGCAAATACGGACTCCATACCTAGTGCAGCAGAAGCTGCTTAATCAATAAGGTGCAGACCTTCCGCCTTGGACCCTCCTTAGTCTGCATTACAGGGATTCTTGATCCAGTAGCGGAGGACACTACCATCTCAGCCCATGTATGCTTCTTTGTTTAGCTGTCCGAACCGTTGCTGCCCCTCTTCAGCTCTGCCCATGTGTGCTTCTGCTTGAGCCAACCATCTCGGAGGATTGCTACACCCCTGCGCCGCTATCTTCGGGACGTTGTCCCATTCCGTGCCACCGAGAGATCCGGCGGTGGTCTTGGGTTTGGCCTATCGTGTGAAATCCCTAAGATGGTGTTCTCGGGCACACCATATCTTCACCCGGCTTTCGCAGCTAGATTGATTGATATCTTTCTCAGCTCTCGTTGACAAGGACACTAATCTCTTCGCTGCACTCCGGCATACACGAATATACCAAATGAAAGCAGGATTCGATTGTCAACCGATATTACGCCTCAAGACGTAACCGCCTATAATATGCGCATGGATCCGCCGTCTGATTGGCTTCCCAGGCGCCTGCTCCCTGGACGAGCTGAATATATATGAGGTTTCATGGCAGGTAGACATCAAGCCTCAACTGCAAGGCCTGCCTTCTGGCTTGTGATCATAGTCCAATACAAGCAGGGGCCCAGAACAAGGTCGATTTATTTTGAGCCGTGCTTGGCATCCTCCCGCCGCGCTGAAGGGAGCGTGCGTGTGTGCGATGGCATGCACATCCTGCACAGTCGGGCATTATCATTTCTCCTGTTTTCGCCAAGAGCCGCTCCCCCATCGATCATCAGACTACATCTCGGGACCCGGGAGCTTGACGATCTTGGGAAAGACGTTGGTGGCCGCTGGGCACTAGCCGAACTCTCTTGACCATGCTTTGGCTATGCTTTATATAGATTAATGCCCCATACAATACCCGTGGGATCGGACCCTGTCTCGGTAGCCCAAGGCCGAGACGAACCCAGATAAAGCGGGTGTTGAGAAAATGCCATTCTCGGTGGACAATCCCCAGGGTGGATGGGAGCATTTGCAGAACGCTCACGGGTCGTGATGTATGAATGTCGTGGTTACGTTACGTCTATTTATCCAAGCGGGCCAAGGTAGTTCGAGAAGGTGAATTATGTAACATCGGTGTGGCATGCCAACGAGAATTTGGTCAACTTACTGGGCCACGTGGGGGTCTAGCACACTAGCGGTGATCTAATATCGTAGTTCAATTATGCAGAAGCTCTGCGACCGGTTGATGATTAAAAGCCCAAAACCCGGGGGAAACGAACTCTTTCCACTCCTCGAGGATTCGAGAAAGACAGAAATGAAGAACATTGGTCGCTGCAGGGGCAGGATCTAGGCTAACTAGCAGAACCTTGCACCCAGTGCCAGACCGTACGAACATCTCTCCAGCCCAACATGCACGATGCCATGCGCCTAATGCGGTCGGACCCAACACGGAGGGAAGCACTCTATACTACAGGGCCATCGAAGTCCATCATCCACTCGCATGGGCGGAATGGGAATGGTAAGTTGGGCATATGTACCGTAATAGATCACCCCATGGGAGCGTACCCAAGCATGTATCCAATCAGAAACAGGGCCATCATTTCATGACATCAACTGGGCGGAGAGCGACAGACAACAGCGCTCTTTGGGCATCATGTCGGTTCCGAGACATCGGCATTCGGAAATGGCGTAATATATTCGCGGCAGAAGAAAACACACACACACACACACCAAAAGCTTCATGTCTCACACCAGAACGCCGTCTCGAGGCGTTGAGGTACTTGCCCCTTAAAAGCACGTGACCCTGACGTGATGGGGCCGGTGGCGTTTTGAGGCAACTGATAAGGCTCCCACGGCTAAACAGCGCACGAAGGGGAGTAAGACGCCCCCCCGACCTGCTTGCCCAGGATTCCCAAGAAAAACAGACCCTCCAGCCACATCTAGTCCCTGGCTCCACTGCCGCCTCGGTCGGCACCCAGGAGGAAAAAATAGAAGCCCAACTGCACCTTCGTGCTGCCGTCCGGACTGCCTAAACCCAAAAGCGACCCAGTCACGCGCATCTGCCCGCTACTCTGTCACATTCTGCCAGCCGGCTGCCACAATCGGCGGTAGACTTGGCTCCTCCATTGCTTCGGATCTAACTCGAGCATTGCCTCAGCCCCGCGCTCGCTTCACTTTATGCTGCACAGTCCTTCCTGGTGGCAATCGCGTGTTCGGCCTTCGCTTCTAGAGTCCCTGCTCTGGTACCTGGAGCCTCTGCTGCGCACAGGCCACAGCCCCCCCGCCTGCTAGCTGGCCTTCGCAAGCCAGCCTTTCGTTGGTCCGATCCCATCCGACACCACACACGTCGTCAATCCAGCCCAAGCAACAACCTTGACTGCACCACGCGCTGCAGTCTCTCCAGCTCCCGACCCCCCTCACGTACCCTGCACAACGTGTATGGCGCACTGAAGCGCATCGCAACTACGTCGCAGCAGTGCTCTTAGCCCGTCGTGTGCTGCGTTTTTGCTTTGGTCCTCCTCGCAGAAGCTCGCGCGTCCCCTCACCCAGGGCGCATCCAGGACGACGTCGTGGCGGCGCTCACCATCCTCAGCCACAACGAACCAGCTTCCGAACTTTCTCTCCAACAGCATCTCGACATCACCCCGAGCCTGGTAACATACAACTCCTACGCCACGGAGGGCGGCGACTCCGAGCCATTGATGATGGCACAGCCGGTGCCTCATCAGGCCACGGACAAGAAGCGCGTAAAAGTGTACGAGCTTAGGGACAACGACTGGTTCGATCGCGGTACCGGTTTCTGCACCGCGACCTTTGCTACTGTGCGTTCTGCCATCACCTCACCCGTGCTCCTGCCCTAAATTTTCCTGCTCCCTTTCCTTGATGCGTCCCCAGGCAACTCTGGTCGCGTGACTAACATTTTGTTTTCTGTTCGCAACACAGACCGAAGATGGCCGCAAAGACCCCCGAGTGATTGTCGAGTCTGAAGACCAACCCGAACGACTTCTTCTGGAAACGAAGATCCAAAAGGAAGATGGCTTTCAGAAGCAGCAAGGCAAGCCCAGCCCATCTTGATACTAGCACCCATCGGGCATATACTGACACACCTTTCTTAGACACTCTCATTGTGTGGCAAGAGCCTCGCACCGGTGTCGACATGGCCCTCAGCTTCCAGGAAGCTGAGGGCTGCGCCATCATTTGGTTTGTTTTGTCGCGCGCCTACTCCTGATTGCCGGATCGCTAACATCAACCTAGGCGGTTTGTCAGCAGTATTCAACAGACCTTCCACAACGCGATGGCCGGGACCGGTACGTTGCCTATCCCGTAGTAATGAAACAACGCGACCGGCTGACAAGAATCAATCTAGGAGAGGGCTTATCAGACGACCTCGCGATTGAGGTTCCTCCCACAATCAATCTTCCAAAGGCTGAGCTGGGCAACCTACCGGAAATCGAGTCCAGCATGCGCATCATGAGTTCTACAGCTAACGGACGTGATGCTCTCTCCAAATCGATCATGGCTGATGACTACATCAGCAAATTGATCCCCCTGGTAGAAATGGCCGAGGATTTGGAGAGTTTGTCAGATCTTCACCGACTTTGCAACATCATGAAGACAATCATCCTTCTAAACGACACATCGATTATTGAGCACGCAGTATCCGATGAATGCGTCCTTGGTGTCGTGGGCGCCTTGGAGTATGACCCGGATTTCCCAAGCCATAAGGCCAACCATCGACACTGGCTTGACAACAAGGGTCGGTACAAGGAGGTAGTTCCCATCGAGGATGAGCAAACGCGCCGCAAGATCCACCAAACCTATCGCCTACAGTATTTGAAGGATGTTGTGCTTGCGCGAATACTTGACGATCCTACATTCTCGGTACTCAACTCGTTGATATTCTTCAACCAGGTTGACATCGTCCAGCATCTGCAGTCTAACTCAAGCTTTCTTGCTGATCTGTTCGCCATCTTTGCGTCTCCAGTTCGCAACCAGAAGAAGCGCAAGGAGGCGGTGCTGTTTATTCAGCAATGCTGTGGTATCGCCAAGAATATTCAACCACCTGCCCGTCAGACGCTGTACAACAACTTTCTCTCCCACGGACTACTCCCTGTGATCAACTTCGGCCTCAAACATAACGATGTAGAGGTACGAGTAGGAGCAACGGACATCCTGGTTTCGATAATCGACCACGACCCTCAGATGATTCGACAAACTATTTATCGACAAATGCACGAGAACAAGCCGCAATTGACGGATTCTCTAATCGAGCTTCTGCTTGTCGAAGTCGATCTAGGAGTGAAGTCTCAAATCTCAGAGGCTATCAAAGTCTTGCTGGATCTGGGACCGCCAAACCATCCTGGCCCGGAGAATTTCCCCAAGGTCAATGGAGAGATGAATGGGAGGCCCAGGCCCCAGACTGCCATGGACCCTCAGCAGGAGGTGTTCCTAACGCGATTTTACGAGCGATCTGCACCCAATCTTTTCAAGCCGTTGCTTGATCTGGAACACCGAACTGATATGAATTTTTCCCCTCAGCAAGCGTCTATGTTCAGCTATCTCATAGAAATCATGTGTTTCTTGGTTCGACAGCATCATCGATTCAGCAGATATTTTGTTTTAACCAACAACATCGTCGAGCGAGTTGGTCAGCTTCTCAACTTTGGAGAGAAGTTTCTTCAATTAGGTATGCGCTAATTTGTCAACACACATCAAGTCCAATATCCTAACAATCTTTTCTTAGTTGCAATTCGTTTCTTCAGATCCCTGATCGGAATGCAAGAAGAATTCCTGATCAAGCACTTGACTGAAAAGGCAGTACTTGGTCCACTTCTCGATGTGTTGATATCCGCCGTGTCACGAGATAACTTGCTCAGCTCCGCCTCATTAGAACTCTTTGAGTACATTAAAAAGGAGAACGTCAAAGACTTAGTGAAGTACCTTGTGTCGAATTATAGGGAGAAGTTGCTTGGTTTGGGCCACATGTCAACTTTCCGCGATCTCCTACTTCGGTACGATCAAACACAAGGATACACTGTTAACATAGACTGCTTTTTGGAAGCTGAGGAGGATGTGGGTAGGAGGCCACCTCCAACACCCACAAACCGAATGATGGAGCACATCACCATGGATCCGGCCGAGGAGGAGTACTGGAATGCGGCATCCGACCCTGAAGACGAAGAGGATCACGGTCAAGAGAGAGGAGGCAAGTCCACAGCCAATGGCTCTTCAACCCCTCTCAAACCTTTGGTCGACTATGCCTCGGATGAGGAAGCAGATGAACAAGCGGAGGGAACCCCCGAGAAGGAAAAGGAAGGCGACGATGCAAGCAGCACTAGCTCTGGCAACGATTCGACACTCTCAGCAACCGGACCCCCTGAGCGTATCGCTGAGAAGCGACGACGCGAAGAAGCCGACGACGACGAGATTGGCAAATTAATGCAGAACAAGAGACGGAACAGCAGCTCGTCAGCCTCCAACGCCTCCGTTTCATCCAGCGTGTCACGAAGACGTAAATCCTTCACCGGCGTTTCGGGCAACAACGCCCCAAAGATTTCTATCAGTCTGTCGCCTGCACTCAGGACAGGCGGGGGTGCAAGGTCAGATGAGGACTCTTGATCTTTTGTGGTATCTTGCGTGTGGAGCTACGCAGCACCTTTTGCCACAAAGATTTGATGATTGCTTCTCTTCATGATTTCCCGTTTTATAATACATTTTCAACTCTTATTTGGCGAAGGCGCAAGGTGGAAAATTGTGGAATCGTTTGCTATATTATTCAAGGTTGTTTGAACTTTTGTACCGAGTTCTTAACAGAACAGGGGCAGGCATTGGACGTCCAACCGCGGGGAAGAGCTGACCAATACGAAGAAGACAAGGACTGGTCTCTCGTATCTGGATGGACTCGTGACAAATGCCTCGCCTTACTGGGAGAATGGAAGGAACCGAGGTCGGAGGGCGTTAATTCTGTCGCCCCGGGGAAGAGATTGGTGGTCTGTTAATCTCTCTTGCCCGGGACGGAAGCAGAGAGGGATGGGTTCGTTTTGACACATATATACCTAGGGCCATGATGGAATGGTCTGTTCTCCAGGCTGGCAGGGAACATAGGTTACTACTGTACTACTTTCGGTGGAGGAATCAGGGAGAATGAACAGGGAATGCCCAGAGTGTCCCGGAGTATATACCCCCGTTGGAGGCTTCTCTTCGAGTCGCCAAGAGTGAGCGAATGTACGACATATTGGTTTCGCCAAGTAGGGAAGTGTGCAAGGGACCTAGACTTGCCGTGACTGGACCAAGAAAAAAAAATTCAGAGATGGGGACTCGACTTGACATATAGGGAGCAAGGGGGAAAAGGATTGGATGCCCTAGGTCTTCTCCTATATCTTGGCCCTCCTTGTAATTCAGCTTCTTATCTAGTAATCGCATCAATGTCATCCGTAACGACGTATTAGACCTCTTCAAGAAAACGTTGGAAGAGAGCAAGGTTCACATATCCCCTTTTGAGTTGTATTCATTAGCTAAAATCTACCGTCATGTCTTCTTGAACTGTCGTGACCACTCCTCGTACGTCTCAATCATCTCCCGCGTGATGTTGCGAGGCGTCCTCTCCAAAGCCGCTACCAAATCCGCCATCTGAATCTCCAGCTTCTCGGTGCCGGTCTCGTCCTCGTCGTACCTATCCAGCACTGCCAGGCCAGCCTCGTTGCAAATCGCCTTGATCTCGGCACCCGAGTAGCCGTCGGCCTTGGCGGCAAGGGCTTGGACATCAACATCGGAGGCGAGGGCGAGGCCCTTCAGGTGCACGTTGAACACGGCCTCGCGGGCAGGCTGATCGGGGGGTCCGACGTAGAGGACCTGGTCGAAACGCCCCGGGCGCATGAGCGCGGGGTCGATGGCGGATGGCCGGTTGGTGGCGGCGAGGACCAGGACGCCGGTCAGGGACTCGAAGCCGTCCATCTCGGTGAGGAGCGTGGTGAGCATGTTGACGGAGCCGTTGCTCCTCGACGCGGAGGCTCCGCCCCCGGTGCCGCTGCGCTGGCCGCCGATGGAGTCGATCTCGTCGAAGAAGATGATGGAGGGGGAGGCGGCGCGGGCGCGCTCGAACAGGGTGCGGACCGCTCGTTCGGATTCCCCCACGTACATGTTGAGCAGCTCGGCGCCCTTGACCGCGAAGAAGTTGAAGGAGGATTCCGTGGCCATGGCCTGGGCTGACAGAGTCTTGGAGCATCCTGGGGGCCCGTAGAGGAGCAGGCCTTTGGGTGGGTGGCGAAGGACGTGCCGGCTCGCAGGATTGGTATTCTTGTTGGCAGACGGAGGTTAGGGACGGGCGAAGGGGGGTTGAGAACAAAGATGGGGGATAGCTTACCTTGGTGTTCTTGATCATGCGAGTTAGGACCTTCTTCAGGTTCTCCTGGCCACCAACATCTTGCCAGTGAATCGTGGGAGGCTTAAGGTTGATATCATGCATGGCTGTCGGGCGTGTGATGCGTAAAGCCTGTTCCATGTCGTCGCTTGTGAGATACTGCGGCCCGGCATTCTCAGGGTCAACACCAGCATCGTCAAGTCGGTTACCGAGAATCTTCTTTGCATTGAGGACGAGGTTGGCCAGGTCGTCTCCGTTGTACGCGTGTGTCTTCTGGGCCAGGCTGGATAGGGATGACTCCTTATCTTCGGGGCGGATAGGAGGGTCGAAGAAGTTTAGAATCTCCAGACGCTCTGTGGCTCTCGGGATGGGGAGAGCAATGTTCTCTCGGAAACGACTCCTCTTCTGCAGCTTTGGTGGGACGTCGGTCATGTAGTCGAGACAAGAAGCAATGACCACCACCCGAGGGAGCGCATTCTGTGCCTTGGCGGTGGCCGAAAGAGCATCCAGCTCCTCGGCGATTGCCTCGACGACGGCCTCCCTGTTTTGCCGGTCCTTTGAAATGAGTTCCTCGAGGGCATCTATCAGCACAATACTCGGCTGCTGCGCCTGGGCCTGCTTGAAAGTATCCTTGATGGCAACCAGTTTGTCCGAGGGCTTGATCCAGTGAACCTTCCCCCAGTTGGTGTCGGCGATGCGCTGCATGATGAAGGTCTTGCCTGTGCCGTGGCCACCGTGAATTACGAAGGCACTGGATTCGCGCTCATCTTTGACCCAGAAAGGGCGTCCGAATCCCCTCAGGAAGGCATTGATAATCTTGACTTGTTTCGCCAAACCCGGGACTTGGCTGACGACCAAATCGCCTGCGGGCTCAGTAGCGAGAGCTGCTGCGCCCGTGTCTTCCGAATCTCCGGGTGCGAGAAGTCGTACATTGCTGCTACTGAGAACGAACTTACCCAGGTTTTCTTTTTGCGAGTTCACAGATAGAACCTTGAACGACCGGCGAAGTTTATTGATGGTAACTCCCTCCAGCACCATGCCAGGGAAAATGAACTCAGCACGGTCTGGAACCTAGTCAGCTTGATAGAATTTCTGGAAGAAAGAAGAACAATTCTGAGTGGAAACTGGCTTACCTAGCGAGATACTGATCGAAAACTCCCAGCCAGGGGGGTGGTAGGCCTCGGAACCATCATCCTGTCCTGGATCGCCCGCCTCCTGCACAACAACGTCCTCAATGACTGGCGTTGCAGTGTCACTGGCTAGAGATATGCGAACCTGGTCTCCAATCTTGAAGCCAGTGGCATCTTGGAATGCCCGAGTCATCATCACGACATTCGGACTGAGATTCTTCTCTGGCAACACCCAGAGAGCGGCCTCTCGTCTAAGAGGCTCCTCCGTCTCTAACCTCTCGGCAATGCATAGTTTCCCATTGTCCAGGTTCCCCGTGAGCGAGATGAGCGAGTCTTTGCTCACATAAATGCGGGCCGCGCCGAGAAGGCTGGCTCTCTCGAGACTTGTGTTGGAGAGCGGACGCACCTTGGCGTCGATGGACTTCTTGACCATTGCTTCCCGTCCTCAGCTAACCCTACGGCGGAAAGTTAGAGAAATGGTTTAAATCTACAAAAAATCTCCTCTTTCTGTTTTCTATGGGAGAGAGACGTACCTCTATCTATTTGGTGGTGCAGTGAGGGGAAATAGCCTGGAGTGGATGGGAAGAAGTAGAAATAGAAAATGGAGATTCTTGTGGTCGATTCTCTTAGTAGTAGTTCAGAAATTTTGCAAGTTGAGCAACAGTCCAGTCAGTGGGTGCTGCCCTCCCTCCACTCCAGCTTTACATCTCGACATATGGTTTTTCGCTCATGATCAAGGAAGTAATATGAGGAAGGATTATATTTGGAATAAGTGTATCATCCTCGTAATTTTCCGACTGGCGACTAGCGTGATGGTGAGTGTATGTCTTAGGAGAAATCAAGCTCTTGCTCTCTCTGTGTGGCTGCGTCCAGATTTTAGCTACCAACGACAACCCACACAAACATCCCTGCACCACCAATCCAGATTTCTCGCCCTTCCACAGCAGCGAGAAGACGCGGGCAGAACGCCATCCAGCCTCGATGATTGCTCTCGTCCCCCTCATACCGCCCGCATGATACGCCCAAAATGGCCCGGCAGCCAAGCGACGACATCGTCGATCCGCCAGTGCGCCAACCATCATCATAGGCGCTTCATATCCTCCTCCAGCTCCGCTCCCCCTCCAAAGTTGCCCGATGGCCTGCAACGCCGAGACGAAGACCAGCAGGAGAAGCAGACCGTTCAATGGCCAGGGCTGAGACGCCGCACCCCTTCTTCCATCGATCAAGCGACGGCTCCGGGAGCCAACGCCCTTTCCTCGCGCTCGGCCCAGAGCATCGCGACGAGCATGCCCAGCAAACTAGCGATAAGCAGACCGCTCGAAAGCAACAAGAACATGCTCGTCTTCACAGGCCTGAGCAAGAACCTCGTCGCCAGCGACTTCTACCGCCTCTCCCCCGAGTCCCAGAGCCTGTCCGCCTGGGGAAGCACCATCAAAAAGGGTAGGTCAAGATCCAGCAACCCCACGACAATACTCCCAATTTGAAACTAACTGAGTGGTGGGAGGGAAACAGTCCAGCAACGCCGTGACAGGCTGACACTGGAGCCAACGGGCACCTACCAGGTCTCCTTCAGCACCTCCGAGGCCGCCGCCGCCTTCCACGACCGCATCGTCCGGCTCCACCAGCTGGCCAAGATCAAGAGCGCGAGCCAGAACGGGCTGTGGACGGCCACCGTCCCCAAGCACCTCGAGGTCCCCGGCGCCGACCCGGCCCAGGAGCTGGAGTCGTACGCCCTGCTCCCGCCCTCCCAGGACCTGCTCGTCACCCGCGCGAGGACGTCGCAGAAGAGCTGGGAGAGGCACCTGGGCGAGATCATCACCAAGGACTTCGGGCCCAAACCCGCCGCGGTCCTGGTCCACGCCGACCCTCCCGATCTCGCGACGGAGGATCTGCATGATGTCATTCTGAAGGACGGCGATAAACGAGATTCAAGGTGGAAGACACCGTTCCCAGTCTCGCTCATGGACGCCTCCACCGCTCAGAAATCGTCGGAAACGACGTCAGTGCTGGAGAGTCATACCTTGGACTCGCTGAGGGGCCGCTTCGTCCTGGCCTTTCCCAACGAGTGGGAGGCCAGGAGGTTCCAACGGGGCTGGAACCAGGGGCAAATTGAGGTTGCGTTGTCCAATGGCTTTCACAAGCAGCACCTTCTCAACGTCTCCTTCATCAACTGGTAATCATGGGAGAGGCGAGACCTGTACTATCATCCATCCTGTATATTTGTATATTTGTATATATCATAAGCACGTAGACATGCACACGAGACCCATATCAGTGTTGCTTCACTGATATAGGGCCCACCTACTCGAATCATTCTGAGAAGCCACATATTGTAGGAATGTATATTAGTCCCAGATCAAAACCCAGAAACTCCGGACCTTATTTGCTCTCTAAAGAAGTAGGAACAGAGACCAGCTGGGGGCGGGAGACACAGTATTAAGACATGACCTTGCCCGCGCGCCTCATCTTGGTGTCGCCCTCCCATGCCGCCCGCGACGTTGGCGCCTCGCCGTCACCCTCCAAAAAAAACCAGGTATCAACAACACACGCGCTCGCTTGAAGGATATCTCTCTCCGTGTAGCGAGCTCGAATCCTACACATTGAAATGATGGATCCTTGCTCCGTCGCCTCCTCGGCTCTAGCTCTCGAATGGACTGGACGCCATCCGCGTGTATATGCTCAGTGATTGATTGACTTCAGCTTGTCGCTCTCATGCATCTCATCCGTTCCACGTGAAAAAAAAAATCCCCCTCTCAAAAACTTGTTGACATCATAATCTAGCAGCACTTGCTGCCGCCTGCGTTTGATTTGTCGCCCACGTTGACGCCGGGGCCGCCACCTTGTTCATTCTTGGTGTTGTCTACGAGACGCTTCTTGATATCGGCAGCGAGGCTGTAGAATGCCTTGTCAATGTTGATGTTGCTCTTGGCCGAGACCTCGAGGAATGGGATGCCAAGTTCGTCGGCGAGCGCCTGGCCCTTTTCTGTGCTGATGACTCGCTTCTCTTCCCAGTCGCACTTGTTGCCGATCAGGATCTTGTTGACACCTTCGGTGGCGTGCTGTTCTACGTTCTGGAACCAAGTGCGGATGTCTAAAAGAAGGGGTATTCTCGTTAGCATGAGCTGCCAAACCATTCACATGGTCTCATTGTGTCGTGTGGATGTTGCGAAAATCGAATCTGTCCTGTTCGTGGGACCACAGATAGAGGCGGGGGAGGGTGGAATGTAGAGTGTTGGAATTGCACAGAAAGACATACTGTTGAAAGATCGTTCATCGGTGACATCGTATACTAACAGAATGCCCATAGCGCCGCGGTAGTAGGCAGTGGTGATGGTGCGAAACCGTTCCTGGCCAGCCGTGTCCCAAATCTGCAGCTTGACGCGCTTGCCATCGAGCTCAATCGTCCTGATCTTAAAATCGATTCCGATCGTGGTGATGAAGGAAGGGGTGAACGAGTCCTCGCTGAAGCGTAGCAGGCAGCATGATTTGCCAACGCCGGAGTCGCCAATGAGGAGCAGCTTGATCTAGAATAGGGGCAGAGCGCATGGCGCGCGGGAGAGTCAGTATTGTCAACCGCCATCAAAAGAGGGCTAGAGAGCGAGAAATGGGCTGATCGCGATGGCTTCGGAGGGGGTCTGGTGCTGCATGTGGGCAAGAAATGCTCACAAGCAGAGCCGAGGGGGAGTAGCGATGCGGCGTTGGAACGGGGAATGGATGGGTGGTTTGGGACAGATGGAACGGGGTGGGCGTACCAAGAAATCGTAGTTACGATTACTCGACATTTTGGGCGAGGGAAGTCGGCGGACGATAAGATACTAAGTGTCGCAATATGTTGGATGATGATATGCCGCAGTCGTTTCGAGGTCTCGCAGCGTCGGCGGAGAGAAAAGATTCGAGAAAGTTGGAAGACAAGGTGCGACTTAGGCGAGGTGGGCTGGGGGAGGTCGGACGTTTGAGGTCACCTAACTGTATGTACGGTGGGCGGTGGACGTGGGAGCCGGTGAGTGGGTTGGGTTGGGTTGGAGGCAGGCAAGAGTCAGGAAGGCAAGGCGGAGGTACCAAGGCAGCGCAGCACTACTCGTGCAGTACTTGGTCCTTGCAGGCAACAAGTAGCGGCAAGTAACATTGCTGTGGCCGATAAGTCCCTACCACTTGGTGGCTGCTAATTTGATAAAGGTGCACGGGGCTGGGGCGGCCAAGGTGTGGTGCTGGTCGTGCCCCGTGGCGATCCGCACAGGGCACTCTCACGTCCGTTACAACAAGGACGACTGCTGGCCTCCAGGGATCCACCGCTGTCAGTGTGCGCATGTGCTCTGCGTGCCTTGGACGACACAATCTCGCTTTCTTTATGACGAGTCTTTGATAGGTATTGTTCATTCATATCTATCATCTATCAGTCCTTGTTTCCAGTGATATTCTGGAATTTCCTCCAAACTTAATCTTCACCTTGTTCATGATGCATCTACTAGCAACGGGATTCACTAGCATTATGATATCCCACTTGGCTCAATAAGAACACGGTAATCGTATGCTTTCCGTCGGTTTCCAACGTCCTAATAGATCCATTTGGTATCTCTTGGTAGTATCTAGCTGTCTGTTTGTTCATCAAGTAACAACATTCGATGTAAGCTTGGGCATTATAAATAGCAGCCTTACTCCTCATATGGTCATCTATGCGTAAGATTCTGTTCAAACACCTCTCCGACAGTGCTCGTTCAGAATACTGATGCTCGTTCAGTAAATTTCATATTCTACTTGAATATGTAATTTGCACTATGACAGCCCAGTTTTCCCTTCGAGTCCATCACTTGCATATTCTGAAACGCCTAATAAATAGAGCTGGAGATTCTAAATTACGGCACCATGGCCATTCTGCATCCAATCTCGAATGGCCATGCAATAAATGATTGCCTACTAGGTAACTTATCTTTTAGTCCTGATAAGTTAGCAGGTGCCTGAAACCGTTCTTTCCGGCCTAGTAGGCAGATGGCTGGTGGCTGCGGTACGACCATGTACATGCCTCCCGCCACCCGACAGGTACCCCGACCATCACCCCAACAAGCTCAAGGGAAAACCACTTGACCATCCCGTGTGGCTGGTCTCGATTAACGTCATCCTCGTCCCAACCTGGAAGCGGAGGCGAATTCTACAGGCCGGGAAGGAAGTCACATGGAGCCAGCCATCCATTCTCTGCCTATTCTGACTCGGTTTCTTGCCGGACTCGGTTCACGAATCTCGCAGATTTAGGCTATTCCAGCTAGTGGAAGCCAAAGTATAACACGCTTTACTTGGGCATCGCGTTTCGTCAACAAAGACTTGCAACAATGCTGAACAGGCACAGATGATTGATCGATTGGTGAATTCGTTCATAAATTTCCTACATACAGTAAAATGGCATCTCTCTCTGAGGCTCTAGGACCCTAGCTACCTGCTTCCCTTCAGACCTTTCCATCTACAGGCTAACATCCAGGTTACCAGATTCCCGCCAGGCAGCAGGATCGCAGCATGAGGATCCAGATACTCAAGGAGCATCGAAGCGAAACCGCGAGGCGTCCTAGCGTCTGGCGGGGGCGGCGGTGACCGTGACGGTCTGCCAGACGGTCTTGACTTTGGATACGCACTTCTTCAGCGTGGTGCTGGGGAGAGCAGATGAAGATGCCTGCTTGTCCTCGACCTTGGTCGAAACAGACTGGGCAGAGGAAGACTGAACGGGAGCAGCTGTGGATGTAGCCGCAGGAGCAGAGGTAGGAGCGGCGGCAGCAGAAGTAGTGACGGCGGCAGCGGTGGAGGTGGCAGCGGCGGCAGTGGACGATGAGGCGGCAGACGAAGAGCCGCCCCCATTTCCGGGCTCAGTTCCCTTCGGCTGGTTGTATGGGGCAGGGACGCTGCTGGGGACATGGGGAGCGACCTCCTTTCCGCTGAAGGCTGGGGTGCCATCATAGTTCTTGCTCTCACATCTATTGCCGAGAGTTTCGCAATAGTTGCCCCAGACATTGCAGTTCTCGTATCCAACAACGGCCGCTGTATCCCAGCAGACCTTGCTCTGGTCCCAACATTCCTGGGCGGCTGCCCAACAGCTCTTGTTGTCAGTTGCGACTGTGCTGACGGGCTTTGCGCACCAGTTGGCGCTCTTGAGGATGCAGTCGGAGGGGATCTTTCCGGCGTCCTGGGTCTTGCTGACATCATTGCTCGAGCTCGACTCGGGGTAGTAGACCTTGGGGCCGGGGATCTGGTAGGTGGTGGGCGAGGTTCCGTCGTACAGGTTGAACGTGAGGCCAGGGTGCTTTGCGTCGACGTAGCCAGGGATGCTGACGGAGTACTCGTCGGGGATGCTCAAGTCACCCGCGGGACCATTCTCAACGAAGACCTGGGCGCAGCCGTGGTAGAATTGAGGGTCGCCCTGGGTAGCCGCGTGCAGGGCAATGAGTTCGGGGCGGATGAGGTAGTAGCCAGAGGGCAGAGCAGAGGGAAGCTTCACGGAGAGGAAGCCATCGTTGTCATTCAGGGTCTCGGTGCACCACTTCTTGGTATCGGCGTTGTAGCCATCTTCCCAGATCTTGAACCACCCGGCCCCGGCGGCAGAATCGGTGAATATGTCGTCGACCTTCTTGACATAGACCGAGCAGGGACCCTTGTGGCCGCCGTCGATGGCACCGCTCCTTGAGTAGTTGGGAGACTCACGGAAGTCGAAGGTGAGAGTAGACGAGCCCTTGGCGGGGCAGATGTACTTGACGGGGTTCTGGGTACCCTCGCGGCCTGTTTGGTCACTCGATCAGAAGCTGTCAAAGTTGGGGATCTACAGGACGAGCCTTACCACATGCCATCTCCGCCCCGGTGAGTGGGTAGATGGGGCTGTTGGACTTGGAGGCGTCCGAGGGAGTTCGCACACAAGTGCCATCACCCTGGCTCTTGTTGTCGATGAAAAGGTTGCTGAAAAGGGTGTGGGCAGAAGCCACGGAGGCCAAGCTCAGTGCAGTGAAGAAGTATTTCATGGTGGATGGTGTTCGAGAACACTTTCTTTCCGGATTGGAGTAGTTTTTATTGTTGAGTTTGGGTATTCAAGAAGCCAGACCAGCTCAGGCAGGGTTTGGTATAACAAGCAGCAGCTTCAAGCTGTAAGTGAATGAGAAACTCGGTGAGATGAGAGAACGTCAAGTTCTTTGATCAGCAAGGAGTG